GAGCCGTACCACCGCGTACCACTACGCGTACAGTAGCAAGGTGACTTCGCGAGAATAATAACTGCGTTCCGCGCATTCCATTCTCGCGACGCGTCGTCTATTCACAGCTCGCCGCGATGATAACGCCGCGCTACATCAACATAAACGTTAATAATTTCACTTGTAAACGTCGTAGTGACTTGAAACAAAATGCATTGGGAAGGGAAAATTATCCTCCTGATAAACGTAAAATTGTCCGGTGAAATAATTGTCACATAGCGCAATCGTATAGACACGAAAGACATCGATTCTCATGCGCGCGTTAAATTAGATATTAGCATACACACACACACGGATCAACTAATCAGAGATTCATAAAGCTAATTTTTCAATAATGGCAGACTCTTTGTCTATTGTTTTAATAGTTGTGCGTGTCTTATACTTTTTCGTGATCGAGTTATTCAATTCCGAGCCGACGAGCCACGTACCGCGACGTGGAGCACGTGTATGATGCGTTACATTTTTCGTCGGTGAATTTTAAGATATTTCATCGTTTCTTGAAATATTTAAATGTGATTGTCGGTATGACGTTTTCCGACGTGTGTTTCTCTGATCGTATCTGCGCGAGTGTCAGTAATTCAAAAGCAGCGACGCATCATACAATTTTCAAGTATGTAAATTCATTTATTCCATTCGAAGTTAACACATTTTACACAATTTCAACACACATTCTACATACACATTTTAACACATTATCTTATACACATACAAATTCAGTTTTTATTAATATATTCGAAAATGTTTCTGGTAATTTTGAGCTTTTGTACTCTTAGCTTGCCAGTTGTACAAGTAATTTTATCGCTATTATAATTAATTAGGAAAATTGTATATTGTTTCAGGATGTGACAGAACTGACATCAGATGTAGCAGAGCTCGTGGTCGTACGACGAATGCAGTTGCAGCAGAATTCAATTCAACTGGCACGGAATCGGCACAAGGGTGAGTCTACTCCTTGAATTTAATTTCTTTTTCCTCTTTATTGAGAAACTTGGAATATAACTGTCAGTGTAGCAGCATGTGCACATTCATACATTTTCACTGATTTTTCATGCGAGAGAAACAAAGTAATCATAAATATATATGCACACAAGCTGAAATTTACTCGCTTAGTAAAATTACAAGAAATTGAAAAGTATCGAAACAGTTATCGAGATAATAGCACGAATTTCTTTTTTTCTTTATTGATTTTTCATGCAATACGATTTTTTTTTCTTTTTCTTTATTGAAACTTTGAATATAATTGCTAGTACAGTAACGTGTGCACATTCATACATTTTCACCGATTTTTTATGCGAGAGAAACAAAGTAATTGTAAATACATATACACAAGCTGAAATTTACTCGTTCATTAAAATTACAACAAAAAATTGAGACAGCACATTTCATCGATGGCACACACGTATTTTGCGCGGAAATTAGTTTCTAATTGTTCTTCTTCACCCGCGACATCTGTTTTCTCAAAGACCTCTTGAAACAATCTGTATTTCGTGCACAGAACGATCTCTGCAACAGTCTCGCGTATAAAACGATTGAATCGAGAATGATCTCTAAAGGAGCGTGCTCTCGAATCGTTGGTAAAGGATTTAACCGATTCGCCGTCATGCATCAGTGTATCGGCGCGTCGTCGAGGCCCGCGATATCTGTCCAACGATCTCCCGACGATTTGTCAGCGCTCGACCGGCCGTGTAGCCGCCTTATCAAATATATATCGAACACCGCTCCCACCGTGTGTTTACCGCGGCATCGGTGAGCTTTCGCGTACGTGTGCATGTACGCGGCCGATCGGATCACCAGCGGCGGGGGTAGCCGGGGATCAGCCGCTTCTTCTCCCTATGATCGATTCGAATCTTCGGCCATTTCTCGAGCGCGCACGGTCTCGTCGCGTCGGCTAATCCGAATTGTGTAGCGCGATCGTCCTTTATCCGTCGCGAAGACAAATGATCTTGGGAGCTTTGTTTCACTCGAGCGTCCGGCCAGTCTCGAGAGCGCGGAGGACTAATCTCCTATAAATTACAACCGATGCGACCGACTTAATCTCGTGAATGCTAGGACACGCAATTGGTTTTTTATTCAGTCGGATTTCAGCCGTATAGATCTTACGGTCACTAATGCCCGACAAAATGGAGCCGCTCGCGTCGATCTCTGGAACGGGGCGAGGAGGACGCTCAGCCGGGACCCGGGGTTTCGTAATTAAAACCAGTCGGCCGAATAGGGTGCGCTACCTAAAGCTTCGGGAACAAGCTGCAGCCGTTGTGGCCGCTCGTATATCTGCCGCGGGGCCGGACTTCTGATATTAAAACTGGTCGCGCGCGCGCGCGTACGTTCTCCTTAATGTAGTTGGTCGCGGTTACGTTTCCCGCGCGTTACGGCCCAAAATGAATCCGAGTCCAAGCATCGGATCGCTCGCGTCGACCGGTTCTAGTTATCTCGATTGATGCCCCCGGTGCGGAGCTCTTCGATTATAAAAGATTCGTGCCGGTGGAGACTAGGATCCTAGCCTTGGAAGCGATCTTAGAGCCGCGGATAAAGTGGTATCCCTTGTAAGCCTAATTTTCTCCGGAAGGCAGCTCATTTGAAATTCAATACGGAAAAAGGCCAGACTAATATTTCTCCGGGAGATATCGTCCAACGTTTGCCGTCCGATCGCCCGATCTCGTGTGTACTATTGCGCGTCGTTGAAAATTTCGGGGCTAATAATAAATCAATAGTTCATACTCGACCGTCTTATTTCTTTTCTTTTCTCTCTCTCTCTTTCTTTCTTTTTTTTAATCGCGCTCGAGTCCATATCGTACCGTTTGCCTTGTAAGTTGTAGCGCGTTCGAAATCGGATTACGTCAAAAGTATCGTACGAAATACCCGGTAATCCTACTTTAGAAGTTCAGGATACATCTGGAAGCTATATATAGACACCGGGGAAATATAAAATCTTCACAAAGTCACGCTTAGAAAATAGTCGATACGTCCCGACCACGTAAGAATTGTCACCCATCTATATACGAGTAGCACGTGCGAAGTTAATTGCCACAATCTTTGTGAAAAAATACTTGAAAATTTATTTGTGGGATACAAAAAGTTTATTTTATAGAATGAAATTTATTTCACAAAAATAAACTTATATATATATATATATATATATATATATATATATATATATATTTAAAAATATTTCTGCGAAATAAACTTTATATTCTATCATATATAAATAAATTTTTAAATATTTTTTCTCAGTATAATATTTCAACTATTGATGCCAATATAAAAATCTAAAAGACGAAAAGATGTCCAAGGAACATCTTAACACTTAGTTTTACGTGTTTTATACATTTATAAAAGAATAAAGCCGGAGAAGAGATCGGAGCAAGTTGTTGGATATCGAAGTAAATTGACAAAACCGATTATTTCTGCTATTTTTTAACAGGTTACAAAATTAAGCAAGCAATATTTTTAAACATGTTAAAAATGGTTTTAAAATCCTTGCTTACTTAATTCTGAAATCTGTTAAAGAACAATAGAAATAGTCAATTTTGCCAATTCACTCTGATAGTCAACTTTACCCTAGTCTCTTCTACTTGAAAATTTACTTGTGGGATATAAAGTTTATTTATATAAAATAAAGTTTATATTTTTTTAAATAAAGTTTATTTCACAGAAATAATGTCACATAAATAAATTTTCAAGTATTTTTTCTCTCAGTGTAATCAATCGATGCCTAGAAGAGGCAGATTAAATTTGAAATGAGTTCTGACAAATGGAACGAGACAAAATTATTTATTGTGAGATCTTTCGGATCGAGAGAGTTCTCGCGTGTCGTCGGGACTCACGCTGAGATTCTTCTCACGTACGATCGCGTTCGATTCAGTAACGAATAACCTGGGTTAATCCGCATTTATCGCTGGTCGGCCTGGCACGATTCGCGGCCGGCGATCTCGATAAGATGCCAGGTCTGCGCCACGGCAGCCCGCCTTCTAAATACCGGTAATGGCACTTAATATATCGCCGGCAGATAACAATCGTCGGAGAAACGCGGCGATACGCGCCTCCGGAGTTTTACCGGGTCTTATCTCGCCAAGGTCTGTACAATGCATCGCGAGCGGACTCGGGCGTGGAGAATAGAGCTCTTTCTCGCGGTTAGTCTTCTACTGCCCCTCGCGCTTCCTTCTTACCTTCTCGTCTCTCCTCTCTTCGGGACAGATCCGTCTCGCGTGCGGATCGCGAGAGATCGATGACGATTCGCGTGCAATTCTCAGATGCGACCCGGCGATGTACAGGAGGACTTTGAGAGAAGAAGAGAGAGACAGTCTGGCGATCGTGCTTGAGTCTTGGATAAAGATTAACGTCGACTTGCCTGGTATTTCACGCCATACGGATTACGACTTTGCATTGGCTTCTATCCCGCGCAATTTCCCGTCTCGCGGAATATCGGAAATCGATCTTGACCTTTTGAGATTTATCGTTCGAGCCGGTGCGAAGAGACTATTTCTCGCGATATCGCGCGCCTCGCGGACGATCCTTCCGCACGGCATCGCCGAAATCGGACAAGAGTCGTCGTAAAGACTCGTTATTGATCGTAGTGCGCGCGGTCACTTTGACACCCACGTCGAAGAGCTTGCGCGAGGCTAGTAGTCACGTTTCCCTCGAAAAAAAAAGTGAGACGCGTTTTGTACGCGAAAGGACAACGACGACGACGACGACGTCATACGCGCGGAACAACGATAACGCCGCGGTACAATAGTCAAGCCGCGGTAAATTATCGCGTACGTCCCGACGTTAGTGCCGGCCGACTTCGGGGAATCGCGCCGGCCCGTAATTTTCGACGTAATAAAGAAACGCATATATGGAGATTCCATTACCGGGCTCAGCTGTTTCAGGGTCGCGGTGCATTAAACAAATTTATACGGCACCTGACTGTCATAAAAGACACGCGGCATGCCGAAGCGCGCGTCATCGCGATCGTGCTTTCGTCGCCGTTAAACGGGTACGCGCCTTAGGCGGGTCGTTTTCATAATTTCGCGCCGCCGATCGCTGGAAAAGAGGTGAAAAATGAGAAAGGGGGAGGCGGGGGAACCGACGACGGCCGCCGCGTCCTCGTCCCCGACGATGCGAAGGATCACTGCGAGACGCGAGAAAGAGAGTGCGACCTCCCCTCTCCTCCCCTCGTCATGCCCCGTTCCGCAGGTCAAGAGGCTGCTGGCACGCGGGGTTGACGGATAAACATAATGATTTAATGTCCATTTCGTACGCGAACGACACGAAATTCTATGATCGCGGCGCCTAATGACACGGCACTTGCCACGAGGCTGCAATTATTTTGCGGCACGTTGGATACGAGTGACGTCACCGCCAATGCCTTCTCACGCCCTATGACCGACGACCGACCGACCGACCGAGTACACTCCGCCCTAGAAGCTCACTCGCAAGGGCGGAGCCCTGAGCTTTGATTTCGATAATGAAGTGCGTCGTGTCACGCTCGTTTGCAAGACGCAACATCGACCTGATCCCGAGTCTCCGGGAACGTTGAGTTCGGGCAAAAAGGCGGCCGGGATTTTGAATTCCGCGCGGATCTACGAGGGGCTTTTTGCCCGAGTCCGGTCTGCGGCTCGTCCGGCAATCGTGAAACCCAGTCGAGCGTCGCGACGATGCGCGGCATCCCGGACTGCTTCGAGATACGTCGGTTACACGCGCCATAAGATAGTCTTCGAGACGCGCCCGGTCGGGTTGCGGAGGTTACGCTCCAGTCTCGACCCCTTCCAGGAGCGGGGGGAACGATTCCTCGTGGAGGAGAATCTCAGCTGCGCCGGGAATCCCCCTGTTCCCGAATAACGAAGCGGTTTGTCGGAGGCACGGCGTTATCGTGCCCATCGACGAAAAAGCAGAGAAGATCGCCTCTGGTGGAAACTTTTACGACGCGAAATGGACGGACGCTGCGCGATACCGCTAGC